TTGATGTCATTCTTATCAAAAGCAAAACACTTGATGTTGTACTTCATTCTAGTGTGTCATCTTGCTTTCATGCTAATTCAACCACTCCTATCTTTGAACTTCATACTGAAAATTTCTCCCTCTCCGATAAAATTAGAAGCTTGCTTCTATGTATCAAACTTCCTGCTATGAAGGAAGTCTTAACTAATCTATTTGCTATGGCTGAACTTTTGAGCTGTTACTCAGTGTTCATGGTTCTATATATTTCTCCTGCTAGGTGACTTGGATTGGATACCCTAACACAACTGGTTTGCCCACAATTGACTATAGAATCACTGATGCTATGGCTGACCCTCCTAACACAAAACAGAAGTAAGTGGGAGAAAAGTTTTTTTCATGTTGATCTTACCCGCACGACAGTCTTGTGGCTAATCCTTTCAATTTGATTGGCAGACACGTGGAAGAGTTAGTTCGATTGCCGGATAGCTTTCTTTGTTATACACCTTCTCCTGAAGCTGGGCCAGTGTCTCCAGCACCTGCTTTATCCAATGGCTTTGTTACATTTGGTAGCTTCAACAATCTTGCCAAGGTATTAATCAGGAAGCAAGTGCCATTTAGAAGCATGTGGTGGGGTTGTTTCGTGCTTTTGAATTGGTAACTGTGTTGTTTAATAGGATTTTGTGGCTCTTTCTTCTTTTATTCTGATGATTTGCTTTCAATACAGATAACACCTAAAGTGCTGCAAGTCTGGGCAAAAATTCTTTGTGCAGTTCCGCATTCTCGGCTAATTGTTAAGTGCAAGCCTTTCTGTTGCGATAGTGTGAGGCAGAGATTTCTTTCTATTCTAGAGCAGTTGGGATTGGAGCCACAGAGAGTTGATCTTTTGCCATTAATCCTTCTAAATCATGATCATATGCAAGCATATTCCCTCATGGATATTAGGTAATGCCCTTGGTCATGTGGCCTTCTTATACTCGGAATCTAATTAAGCTTTTGATTTCATTTGTAAATTGAAGGGGAGCCTTGGCATAACTAGTAAAGTTGCTGCCATGTGACCAGGAGGTCACGGGTTCAAGCCGTGGAAACAGCCTCTTGCAG